ACGTCCCGCTGGTCTTCCACGAGCTGCGGAGGTGCCACCAGGGGCGGATCCTCAATTGCGGATCCTCCACCAGAAGCGGGTCATCAAGGAGCACGTGTCCTTCCTGAGGGCGCGCGTGTTCCAGGTGGATCGAATGCGCGCGGCGCCGGGGCGGGCCGACCACTTCATCATCTTCCACCAGAAGCGGATCTCCATGATCAACGAGCTTCCGCTCAAGCCACCCCCTCTTCTCCTACAATTAAAGAAGAGTATGAAGGTCAACGCGGACCGACGATCCATGGGCGTCGCGTCCGCGATCGGGGAGCGAGAGCAGGTGCGCGCGCCCATGATGCACCCGCCGAGACGGGCCCAAAGGCGTTCGCACACAGTGCGCCCCTCCGCGCCACGGCGACGGAAAAGGATCACGCTGGCAAGTGCTCTGTGAAGGACAGGGATGGCGACGTCTTTCTCCCGGATGCTGCCCGAGGCCCCCATGCATGATCGTCGGGCGTCTCTTATGCTCTGCATGCACCTGGCGGGCCTTCAGGTGCTGAGCGCGCCGTTCGTGATGGACTGCGCTCCTGCGTCTACGGCCCCCGTTCACCACGTCCAGGTGCCTATCACCAACGAGCTGCCGCTCATGCCACTGCCCTTCGAGCTTCTGCGCGTGCTCTTCGGCGGCGACGGCGAGAGAAGGGGGCGCCTGAGCCTGAAGAGGTAGGGGGTCTCGAACGGCCCACGCCCCATGAGCGTCGCATCCCCGTCTCGGAATCCAGTCGCACGGTGCCGCCCTCCTCCCCAGCGGCCTCTAGCCGTGCTGCTGGGACCAAGTGTGATGACGCTGTATCTTCTCACGAGGTCCCCTGCGACTGTTCAAACATGGGCGCGCCCTTCTCTGCGGGACCCCCACCACTGCGCGCTGACGCGAGTTTGACCGAAGGAGCGCGCGCCCATGGCGCAACCGCCGCAGACATCCCCGGGGCGAGGTACGAGTCGAAGGTCACCGGTTTGTTCACTGGCGCATTCGGGCCCGCGGTTGGCGCGAGGACTGAAAGGGCGCGCGCCCATGATGCAGCCGCCAAGGTGGAGGCCGTTTCGAATGCCATGCCGATCGACCTCGAGGGCGTGTCCACTCCGAGGGCCACGCCTGAGTCGGCGGTCTTGCCGATCAGGCCTGCCGCGCGGCCGCCTGCCTGCGCCCCCGTGAGCGCTCGGGTCACGGGGCAGGGGTCGGGCGGAACCGCTGCTGGAAGCACCTGGAATCCGGTCGGGGTGACGGCCGACGCGAACTCCGAGGCTCATCGTGTGGAGGTCGACGAGGGCCACGACAGTTCGTGCAGTCTCACTGGTCGAGGCGATGCCAGTGCTGACAGTCAAAGGCAAGATGGCAAATCGCACCCAGCTAGCCGAGCCCATGGCGACGCTAGCGGGGCGATGACTGCGAGCCGAACCCATGGTGAGGCTCACGGTGCAGCTGCTGCTAACAGGATTCTACACTGGCATGAGGGTCAAAGTCAGTGGCCGTTTGGTGACATCTGGTCTTGGCAAGCGGCGTGGCCGCCCTCGCCTCTCCACCATACCCTTGGGCCTGTGCGGCACAGTGCACAGCGTCGACTTCATGGTGGGAGGCTTCGGCCATGCAGAGGAATATGGTGCTCTTGTCGACTGGGGCCCCCCGTGCCCGTTTGCAGGTTGCTCCATGGCCTTCCATCCACGGAGCGAGTGGCAGCATCTTTCTCCGGTACGAGGTGCTTGCTATCCCTCGGTGTTCCCTCATTGGTTGAGCGATGCTTCGAGGTTGTTGGTCACGCGCAGGAGGGCGGGCTTCTACGTCCTCCCCGTCACTGGCTTCGCCTGGGGCTCCGTGTTGTTCTCCTACTTCATGCTGGCGCTCCTCGTCGACGCGCCCCTGACCCTCTTCCTCTGCGAGTGGGTCTTCCTCCACACCTTCTTCAACCTTGCCCTCTCCGCCATCGTGGCGCGAGGGCGCCTCGGCGTAGTCCGTCGGGCGCGCGTCAGCGCGGCCGGCGGGAGACGCTCGAGAGGCAGTGCGCTCCTCCTCCTCCTCCTCCTCCTCCTCCTCCTCCGCCTCCTCCTCCTCCTCCTCCTCCTCCTCCTCCTCGTCCTCCTCCTCCTCACCCCACCCATGCCACGCGTCCGCCCGTGTTGAAAAAGTCGTTACGGACGGTTTTGGATTGTTTTCGGTTTCCAGGTCCTTTATCAGGCCCGAGGACCGTCCGAAAACGACTCGGGATGAACAGCCGGTCCTGGGGAAGGGATTTAGGCATGTGGGGGCCCGCGTTACGAAAAGATCACGACGTCGGGGTTTTGGGTTCCTCTTCCGTCTCTACGTCTCAATGAGGAACGGGGGGCCGCCCGCAGTTGCCATCCATTTGCATCTCGGTTTTCGTCCTCTGTCCCACTTCGTCCCGCTCCAGTTCGCCACGGTCCACTGCGCTCGACCCCGGAGGAGGAGGAGGAGGCGGAGGAGGAGGAGGCGGAGGAGGAGGAGGAGGAGGAGAGCAGGAGGAGTAGGAGGAGTAGGAGGAGGAGACTCCACTCCACTCCAACCCCCTCCATCCCATCCTCCTCCATCCCTCGGGATCTTTGGAGCTGTGTGGAGGTCTCGGGGGGACCTCTGGAGGCTCCAGGAGTTGCCCGGAGGCCTCAGGAGTTGCCGCAAGAGAGACCCCCCAAAGGAGGACCAACACCGCTCCAGAACCTCGGCCTTCGACCCTGGGGCCAAAACAAAACATCCCAAGTCCTCCTCCTCTTCTTCCTCCTTTTCCTCCGCCGCCTGCTCCTCCTCCTCCTCCTCCTCCTCCTCCTCCTCCTCCTCCTCCTCCTCCTCCTCCTCCTCCTCCCCTTCCTCCTCCTCCTCCCCTCCCCCTCCTCCTCCACTTCCTCATCTTCTTCTTCCTCCTCCTCCTCCTCCTCTTCCTCCTCCTCGTCCTCCTCCTTCTCCTCTCGATTCCCGCTCCCCGTCCCCGCGTCCTTCTGCGCACGTCCCTCCCCGCAGAGCTGGGTTCGCGGCGGTCCTGCTGAGCGCCCCCGTACTCCTCTGAGCTGCTCGGCGGTAGGAGGCTTCGATCCTCGACCCCTCCCTCTCTGAAAGCTCCGACGCGTTGCTTTTCGCAGCGTGGACCCCGAAGGTCTGAACCCCTGACGGTCCCGGAGCCCGGCGAGGGCCCCCGGAGGCCGAACACGGCCCAAGAGCCACCCTTCGTGTTTGTGACGCGACGGGGGGAGGCGAGGGTCCTCTGAGCTGCTTGGCGATGCGTATGGCGCCTTGATCCGCGATCTTCCAATTCTCGATCCATGTGACGATCCTCGATCCCTGCTCCCTGTGGTGATCCTCGATACCGCGATCCGCGATCTTTTTAATGATCCTCGGTACCCTCGAACCTTCGTGTGCTCCTCGATCCCTTCGTTCCTCGACCTCTTTGATGCTCTTCGATCCTCGGCCCTCGAACCCTCTGATGATCTTCGATGCCCTGGATGCTCTCGACCCCTCTGCTGATCCTCGATGCTCTCGACGCCTCGATGATCCTCGATGCTCTCGACGCCTCGATGATCCTCGATGCTCTCGATGCCTCGATGCCTGGATGCCTCGATCACCGAGGATCATCGAGGATCATCGAGGATCATCGAGGATCATCGAGGGCATCGAGCATCATCGAGGATCATCGAGGGCATCGAGCATCATCGAGGATCATCGAGGGCATCGAGCATCATCGAGGATCATCGGTGCGCTCGACGCCCCGCCGCGCCCTCTGCAGGGCGCTCTCCGACGCCCCGCCGGCGCCCTCCGCCCGCGCCAGGCGCCCGCGCGCCGCCTGCTGCCCGACCTCTCCGCCGGCGAGCGGGCCGCGCTCTGCGACGCGCTGGGCGCGGCCGGCGGGGGCCGCCCGGGGCGGCGCGCTCCAAGCGGGGTCGTCGCCGCCGCCGCCGTCGTCGTCGTCGTCGTCGTCGTCGTCGTCGTCGTCGTCGTCGTCGTCGTCGTCGTCGTCGCCGCCGCCGCCGCCGTCGTCGGCGCCGTCGTGGTCGTCGTCGCCGCCGTCGGCGCCGTCGTCGCCGTCGGCGCCGTCGTTTGCCCCAGGTTTGCCCCAGGAGGGCCCCCGAGGCCTCCAGGAGGGTCCCCAGAGCGCCCCAGGAGCCCAAGAGGGCCCCAAGAGAGCGCCAAAGTGCCCCCAAAGCCTCCAAGATGGCACCAAGACGGCCCCGCGATGGCCCCAAGAGGCCTCCAAGACGCTCTCAGAGAAGAGAACCTGTTAAAGACCTTTGTGGTCGACTCCTGTCGTCGTCGTCGCCGTCGTCGTCGTCGTCGTCGTCGTCGTCGTCGCCGGCGGCGCGCTCCAAGCGGGGGCAACGTCAGGGGGGGCCCTGAATCTCCAGCAGGGGGCTGATTCTCGGTATCGTTCAACCGATCCCTATCCCCATCTCCGTCCCCATCCCGATCCCCATCATCCCACCTCCCCAGGTTGGGACATTCCCCTCGAAACCCGAAGGGAACAGCTTAAACTCCCATCTAGGGGAGTAAGTCGGCCAGTGGGGCCCAGGCCACGCCAGCAGGGATGGGGATCGGTCAAGCGTTGATCACTCGAGGCACCTGCAGGCGACTTGCAAGTCCGCCCAGCTGCCCCAAGTTGGGCCCGCGACTCACTCAGACTTGGAGCAGTCAGGCAAACTTGCAGCCCACCGGTGGGCGCCCTGCAAGTGGGCTGCAAGCACCTGGCAGCCGCTGCAGTCGTTGCAGGTCGAGCCAGGGTCCGAGCAGGTGGGGTCGGAGGATTCGGGGCCCTTTGCGTCGCTGAAAAACCAGGACGGGAGAAGCTTCTTGCCTGAAGTCGGGCTTGTCCCTCTACAGGAGGAATTTCAAACATAGTGGCAAAATGGTGTTTTTTTTCGACGATGTTTGCTTGTTCCTTTTAACTATCTTTCATGTTTCGCCCAGAAGCCGCCTGTAGGAGGACATGCCCGACCCAATGTTAGCCATCCTCGGCCTCGGAAGGCTCTCCATGGGCCCCCGGGACCGTCGAGAAACGACTCACGATGAAGAACCGGTCTCGGTGAGGCGGTCTAGCCACGCAGTGAAGAAATCACGGCGTCGGGGGTCGGAGGATTGCGCCGCATCGCCGATGCATCGCCGACGGGGCTCGACGTGGAGCCCGATTCTCTCCGCGCTGGCGTCGCCGATGCACCGCCGATGCAGCGTGTCGCGCCGCCGGTTCTAGCCCACCGCGCTTCGGCGCGACACGCTACCCACGTCCGAGACCCAAGCGTCGACGTCTCGACGTCTCGAGTTCTTCCCAGCCTCCCGCCCCGCGGATTAGAGCGACAAGCCATTCGCTTGCGAGGTCGTGAATCAAAGAACCCCTAACCCTAATAAAACGACGATGACGTGGCCTCACTCAGGTTCCCGTCTTCGCATTAGGGATAATATATCTGGGCGGTTTGGCTTGATACATCTGCAGAAATAGGGGAACGAAAAATGACACACACACACACATATATAAAAAAGACTGGGAGGTCCGCGCGGATTTCTCGGATCCGCGCTGGACCCCCTTCCCTGGCGCGCGGGGCGCGCCCCGGCGCGGATGCGAGAAATCCGCGCGGACCTCCGAGTTATTATGTCTATGTCATTGCTCGCTTCCCCAAGAAAAAGAGCCCCTATCCCTAATGTTTCTGGCCCTCCCAGCTGAGGTTTACCCCACAGGGTTAGGGGGTCCTTCTTCAGTAGTTCGTCATACGGCGTGTCGCGGGTGCCGCTGGCGCGACACGCGAAGCAAGAGTTCTGGACCGCAGGCTCAGGTGGTCGTTGTTTCATTCACTGTCTTGCCGATCGGCGCGGGCCTCCGCCCCCATAGTACGCCCTGTCGCAAGCAGTCGCACTAAGCAGAGGTCCGGAGCCAGACCCCCCCCCCGTCCCCCCCCCCGCTTCCGCCCAGTGTCGAAACGCCGAATACGAAATCGCGCACCTGGAGGGGGCGGCCTTCTCGGAATCGAGGTTCGAGGGACTCGGCCGCTTTCGCAGGTCCTCTCTGGTCTTGCCAGCCGCGGAGGGCCCTCCCACAGCCGCGTGTGGCCGAGAGGCGTCCGGGGGCACCCAGGTCGTCCCCAGCGGCCGCCGGAGACCCGAGTTGAAAAAGGACCTGCAGGTCACGGGAGCGACGACGGAAAACGGAGCCGTCTTTGCTGACATTTGGCGCGCCAGCTGCCCGCGTGAGGTCGCGCGCGAGCGCCCTCGTCTCCAGGGTGGCGCGCCGTGCTGGCGGCCCGCGCAAGCCGCCGCGCAAGGTCGCCATGCCATCTCGCGTAAGACCCCTTTCCTTGCGTCGCTCCTGGGGCAACGATAGGCTCAGGGGGAGGGGGGGGTCGCGCGCAGGCGAATGCGAGTGCGCGCCGTGTCCCGCAGGGGGGCGGCCGACCCTGGAGGGGTGGAGCGCAGGGGCCACGGCCCTCGCACGATCCTGAACTTCGCGAAGCCCTCGTCCAAGTCGCCCCAGTTCCCCGGAGAAGCCGACCCCAGGCATCTAGCGCCTCGGGAAAATCGTGACTCGTGGCGGAGGTCTTCCATCGCTTTCGGTTCGGCCTCTCGGGGCCCTCATCCTGGCCTCGGGGCGCCAAGGAAAGACTCGGAAGGAGAAGCCGGTCCCGGGGAAGTGGTCGAGAGGTCGGGAACCCGCGTCTCGAAAAAATCGCGACGCCGTCTGGGACCACAATTCTTGAAATCTTGCGTCCGTAAGAAGATGTTGAAGAACGTGCGCCCACCAGGTTTGGGGTATAATCCTACCATTCCTACATCACTCACACCCAAAACCCCCCACCCCCCCTACATTTGTCTTCTCCCCCCCACCCCCCCACCACCCCCACCCCCAAAGCCCCCCCCCCTACACTCTCACTCATCATGTTACTATCCTTCTGCACCCATGCCTCCCCCGCCCTCCTCAATAACTCTCTGCCGCACCCCTCACCCTACTCCTCCTCCTCCTCCTGCCCTTCCTCCTCCTCATCCTCTCTCCTCCTCCGCCTCCGCGCCGCCCTGCCCTCTTCCTCCTCTCCTCCTCCTCCTCCTCCTCCTCCTCCAATCATCATCCGCAAGTTCGTCCTACTTGTCTCTCCTCCTCCTCTCCTCCTCCTCCTCCTCTTCTCCTTCTTCTCCTCCTCCGCCGCCTCCTCCCCCTCGTTTCGTCTCGTCCTCTTCCTCCTCCTCCTACTCCTCCTCTCGTCCTTCTCCCTCTCCCCCCCACTCTCCTCTTCGGCCCGTCCTCATCCTCCTCCTCCTCCTCCTCCTCCTCCTCTCCTGCCACTTCCCCTCCCCCCCACCCTCTTCCTCTTCCGGCCTCCTCCTCCTCGTCCTCCTCCTCCTCCGCTTTGGGGTCTGCCTTATGATCTGGTCAGACTCCGCTTTGCCGTGGGCTGCGGCTCCCACTCAACAGCAACTCGCGCCCACCTTGCCGCATCCAACTCGCAAGCGTCGGCGGCGAGGAGGATGACACAGAGGAGCAGGAGGAGGGGGAGAAGGAGGAGGAGGAGGAGGAGGAGGAGGAGGAGGAGGAGGAGAAGACGGAGAAGGCCTTCTCAGAAGGCTCGGAAGTCCCCCGGCCTTCTGAGAAGTGTTCAAAGCCTTCCCCGGAGGCACGGAACAACTCCGCAGAAGGCGCGAGGGCTTCTGAGAAGTCCCCCCGCCTTCTAAGAGGGCCTCCTCGTGCGGTTTCGCTGCCGCGGGCCTACCGGGGGCTGTCGGCGGCCCCTCGGTGCGGCTGGCGAAGGCCCAGGGCGCCACGCTCCCGAGGAGGAGGAGGAGGAGGAGGAGGAGGAGGAGGAGGAGGAGGAAGAGGAGGAGGAGGAGGAGGAGGAGGAGGAGGAGGCGGAGGAGGAGGAGGCGGAGGAGGAGGCGGAGGAGGCTGTCATTACGTACGGTTGGTTCACGCGGCGATCGCGCGTCCGCGACGCAGGCGAAGGCGTTCAAGGTTGAACTCGGCGTGGTAGAACGGCGCGGAAGCACCGAGGGGCACGGTAAGGCCGCAGGGCCCGACGGAATTCCACCTCGAATGATGGGGGCCGCGATCGTCCCAAGGTCGAACGATCGACGCGGTGTCAAGAACCGCTGTGCGCGCCGACGCCGCGCGAACTTACCGTTCTTTTGCACCAGCGGCGAACTCCCAGACATGCGACGTCCCGATAATACGCTCTCGACCCTTTCCCCTGGACCGTTTTTTCTTCCCGAGTCGTTTCTTGACGGTCCTTGGGCCTGGCGAGGGCCTCCAGAGGCCGGAAACAGCGAAAATCTTGCGTCCAGAATCTTTCCCGACGCGATCACGTCTGGGACCGTATTTTGCGTCAGCGGCGATACCCCCACCCACCCCTCTCGCACACGGGGTGTTTTGTTGGCCGTCTCCTTGGCTTCTGGGGGCCCTCGCCAGGCCGCGGGGCCGTCCAAACACACGACCGTGGGACGGAGGAGCCAGTCCCGGGGGGGAGAGGTCCAGACCTCTGGGGCCCACGCCGTTAAAAAAAGTCACGTGGTCGGAGTTCGGAGTGTCTGTCCGTCCGGCCTCCTTGACAAGTCCTGCTACGAGTGCCTCTTCGCGGACCCAGGTCAGTCCTGAGAAGCCCGAGGCCGCCGCTCACCCCAAACATGGTCGTCGATCTTCGAGAAATCCAGGCTGAAATCCTCCTCCTCCTCCCCCCTCCTCCCCTCCTCCCCTCCTCCCCTCCTCCCTCCCTCCTCCCTCCCTCCCCCGTCCCTCCTCCTGGTTGGAGGAGGAAACCCTAAGGGGCTGGTGGGATTAGGTGCCTCCTTGGGTGCTCTGGGATGTCTCCTTGGGTGCTCTCGGTGCGCCGCCTCAGAGGCCCCGTGCACTTCTCGGAGTTCGTGGCGGCCTCGCTGGATGTCGCCCCGGCGCTGGAGGAGGGCCTGCTGCTGTCCGCCTTCGGGCGCCCGTCGGACTTCGTCGTTGTCGGCTGTCGTCGTCGTCGTCGTCGCCGCCGCCGATGAGGATGAGGATGAGGGATGAGCATGGGGATGAGAATGAGGATGAGGATGAGGACGAGGACGAGGACGAGGACGAGGGCGAGGACGAGGACTAGGATGAGGATGAGGACGAGGGTGAGGATGATGTTGATGAGGAGGAGAAGGAGAAGGAATATGCTAATGATGATGGTGATGATGATGACGATGATGATGATGATGGTGGTGATGATGATCATGATGATTATGATGCTGATGATGGTGACGATGGTAATGATGATGCGGATGATGATAGTGGTGTTGATGAAGATGGGAACGATGAAGATAATGACGATGATGGTGATGATGATGCGTATATGACGCTTATGCTGATGAGGGTGATCGTGTTAATGATGCTGATGATGATGTTGATAGTGGTGGTGATGATAGTGATGGTGGTGATGATGATGACGATGATGACGATGATGACGATGATGACGACGATGACGATGATGACGATGACTGTGACGATGACGATGACGCTGATCATGATGATAATGATGATGAGGAAGAGGATGATGATGATGATGCTGATACCGATGATGACGATGATGATGAGGAGGAGGAGAAGGAGGATGATGACGATGGTGATGTTGATACGTATGATGATGATGATTATGATTATGATGGTGATGATGATGATGGTGGTGGTCATGGCGATGGTGATGGTGATGGTGATTGTGATGATGATGTGGTGCTGATGATGATGGTGGTGATGCTGATGACGATGATGACGACGATGACGATGCTGATGATGCCGATGATTGCGATGATGATGATGATGGTGATGATGATGACGATCCTGCTGTTGGTGATGATGAGGATGAGGATGAGGATTACGATTATCAGGAGGATGAGGATGGTGATGATGAGGATGAGGATGAGGATGATGAGGATGATGATGCTGGTTATGATAATGATGATGAGCAGGATTATGATTGTGATGATGATGCTGCTGCTGATGATGATGATGGTGATGATGGCGATGGTGATGGTGATGGTGATGGTGATGGTGATGGTGATGGTGATGGTGATGGTGGCGATGATAATGTTGTTGCTGTTGCTGTTGTTGAACTACTCCCTCTACTGCAGAAACATTATTGTTGATCCCCCCTCTGGGCCACATGGTATCTTTTCAATTGAAGTGCCCTTCCCAGGGCTCGCGCCCTGTTTGTCTTGGGTCTCAAAATTGGGCCCCTGGCCCCCGTGTTACAACAACAGCGGCTCTCGCCTGAGATGCCCCCCACAATGTATTCCCACACTGCGATCTCGCGCGGGAAGTCCTTACGCTATGCAGACATCGCGCTCTCACGTGGGACTTCCTCGCAATTTGTTCAGACGCCGCGCCCTCGACAGTCAGGAATCACGCTCTCGCTGTGGCCTATCTCTTGATTTACTTGGGAGTCGCGCTATCGCTCGAGGCTCGCGATTCCTTGCAGGACGCACGCTTCGGCAGCCCGCCCGCTCGCCCTGGCCGCCGGGGCCCGCCCTCCCGACCCGCCTGTGGTGGTCTGCCCGCCCGATCTGCCCGTCGGGTTCTGCCACGTGTGTTCTGCTCCTAGCCCCCCCTCCTGCTACCCTCTGAGAATTGATCCAACGAGATCAAACGAGATGTGAATGTTTCTCCACTGGACTCGGGTCTCTCCAGCACTACTGGAGAGCAGCAGTCAGACGCTATGCTAAGCTGCTGGGCCTGGGGCGCGGTAAGCGCCACCCTGATCCAAAATGCCTACTGCCGGGCATGGGGGGAGTCTGAAAACCAGGGCAGGACGCCAAAAATGTTACGCCTCTCTCTCTCTCTCTGTCTCCCGTGATCCATCCTCCTCCCTCCCCCATCGCCCCTTGTCCTCAAGGGGGTACGATCGAAGACGAAGAGGGCGGGTATCGAGGGTGTGGGATATACGTGTTGAGTGATATGCGCGCAGGTAGGATCGAACAGTCATAGCTTGATTGCTGTTGTTGTTGTTGTTGTGGTTGTTGTTTGTTGTTGATGCTGTTGTGGTTGATTGTTGTTGCGATTGCTGTTGTTGTTGCTGGTGTTAATGGTGCTGCTGGTGTTGTTGTTGCTGGTGTTAATGGTGTTGCTGTTGTTGTTCTAGTTGTTGTTGGTGGTGCTGGTGCTGTTGTTGTTGTTGCTGATGTTGTTGTTGGTGTTGTTGATGTTGTTGTTGTTGTTGTTGTTGTTGTTGTTGTTGTTGTTGTTGTTGTTGTTGTTGTTGTTGTTGTTGTTGTTGTTGTTGTTGTTGTTGTTGTTGTTATGTATTGCTTTTGTTGGTGATGGTGGTGATGGTGGTGATCATGAGAATTATGAAAATGATGAAGATGATGATGGTGATCGTCGGGATGATGCTGCTGTTGATGATGATTATGCTTATGATGGTGATGCTGATGATGCTGCTGATGATGTTGATGATGATGCTGATGATGATGATGCTGATACTCATGCTGATGCTGATGATTATGGTGGTGGTGGTGGTGACGAGGAGGAGGAGGAGGAGGAGGAGGATGAGGAGGAGGGGGAGCAGGAGGAGGAGGAGGGGGCCGTTGGGGGGGTGGAAGGGGGACGAGGAAGGCGGAGGAAGATGGAGGGAGGATGTGGATGGAGGAGCAGGCCCCTCTCGTCTCCGCCCTCAGGCGCCTGGGCTCCGTGGGGCCTGGCGCCGTCGGCCTCTCCTGGGGCGCGGCTGGCGCGGACACGGCCGGGGAGGGAGGAGGACTTCGGTCGTCGTCGTCATCCTCCTCGTCCTTCTCGTCCTCGTGCTTCGCGGTCAAGTGCAGCGTGCGTGGTGGGCATGACCCTCACTCAAGGGGTCGTCCTCACTCGCTTTCGGCAGCGCTCCACCTCATCGTCCCCACTCCCTCTCAGTCCGCCTCCTCCCTCTTCCTTGCCTTCCTTCCTCGTCGCCCTCCTCTTCCCTCCGCCCTCCCTCCCTCCCTCCTCGTGGACACATACAGACATACGTATATGTATACATGCATGCACACATGCACACGTACATACATACATGTTTACGCACATATATACCTTCATGCACAGAAAGCATACATACGTCCGTGCACTCATGTGGGTCTGTCGCCGATTTGCCGACGGCAGCGAGCTGCAGCAACGGCGGCTGCGTCCGCACCTCCGCAGCTCGCTGCCGACAGCGAGCTGCGGTAGGAGAGGTATGTCGCGCGATTCGCCGACGGCAGCGAGCTGCGGCCCGTGCGATTGGATTCGCGGGAGCTGCGGTAGGAGACTACGAATAGCATGCTCCTCCCACCGCTCACTGTCGGCAGTGAGCTGCGGTAAGCATGGTTTCAGAGCATGCTGCGAGACCTCTGTTGAAATAAAGCGAAGCAGATGTCTCGCAGCATCGCCCTCCTCTTCCTTCCCTTCCTTCCTGCGTCCCCCCTCCGCTGCCCGCGCCGCCACGGTGGGAGGGGGAGGGGGAGTGGGAGAGGGAGGAGAAGGATGGAGGATGGAGGAGGGAGGAGGGAGGAGGAAGATGGAGGAGGACGATGGAGG